GTGGTAAAAAAAAAATTCCCAGGTTTTTCAGAATGGTTGTTGCCAAGAAAAAGGAAGGGAAGGTTTTTTAATGGGTGAACTTAGTAGGGGGGGTCAGGGGTGGAAAAAAAAAGGAAAAAAGGCGGGGGAGTTGGGGGGGGGGGGACAAACCTCCAAACCCCAATCATTATATCAAAATTAAAAATCTTATTAGTTGCTCCGTACATTTTCTATACAAACAGTGTGGAGTAAAAGTTTAAGTATTTATAAATTCATCCTGGGTGGTCAATTTTTTAATAACATTTAATGGGGAAACTGCTTGTTACTTTTGAACGCCTGACAAAGTTTTTGACTTTTTTTAAAGATGTCTCCGTAGTTTCTTGGTGTTGGGGACGTGTGCGATCACCAGATGATGCATAAACAAAGATTGAAAAGACACTGAAAAATTCCCAAACCACAAAACAAAAGCGAACCAACCATAGCTTTCGAAACACAACGAAACACTCGATGTTAAAGAAAATATTTCACAACTTTTTGTTTTATATTCGGGCTAAACATAATGCATTATTGACTAGGCGTGAGGTCAATACGGCTGGATATTGACCTCGTTACTCGACTTCGTCTCGGTCAATAAAAACGCCAAAAAAACTAAAGAGGCCAATATCCAGCCATCTTGACCGAACAAGCTTAGTCAGTGAGGGATTTATTACATGGCCAAACTAGAGCACTTTTTCTTGCGGGACCAACGCGGGATATCTTGCCCGCTCAGGTAGCCAATCAGAAAGCAGAATTCGCTTCATCTTGCCCGCTCGCAAATTCGAGAATATAATAAACATTGTTTCCCTAATATTCCCCGCCACAAATTAGATCATATCCTCTTCCTTAGATATTTAGACAAAATGAAACGTTGTTCTATGTTTTAGATGTATCCAACATTATTAAGAGTGACTGCCAAATCTGTTAGAAGACTTCATAGGGACGTTTAGATTCGAGGACGGGGACGAGATACGAGGAAGATATTTGGCTTCCAGTTTTTTTCCGCGTATTTTCCAAAAAATAGAAACCTCAGAAAACATCACTTTACTTTCCTTTACGGGAAAAGTTGACATGGTTATTTTCATTGGAGGCGGTTAATCCTTCGCCCGATCGCAAAATGATAAAACTTCATTTAAAAGCTACGTGAAAACGGACACAACAACTCCCAACATTGTTGGCCAACAATGTTGCGTACGTTAACACAGGGCTTAACATTCGATAACTGTTTCCGTCACTAGGACATTGTCGCTAAACTCGCAGACTGACGTCGACTATCGCGTTTTCCCGCCAAAACAGGGACCTTACGAAACCACGACGACGACGGCGACGGCAACAGGAACGTGAAAAAGCAATAGGTTTAAAGAGAAAAACAAAAACTCTGCACTTGTCACGCTCTTTTGTACATTTCTTTGCCGTCCCTGCCACGACGTGAAATGACCAAATTTTAAGGTTACTTGGGAATCTCTGTTTGAGCTCGGGCGCGGTCCCTTCTCTTCAGCTCCAACCCAAAATCCGTTCTCTTAAATTTTTCATCGACGTTTTCACGGACGTCGCCGTAGTCGAATCGTAAAATCCCTAATGACGCTGGTTCACGCGCGCACCACAAAGTATTGAGAAAATCTCGTCCTCGTAGTAGACCTCCTCGTCTTAGAGTCTTAACCCTTTAAGCCCCAATATTCACATACAAATTCTCCAAACTGGTCTCTATAAATTCTTAAAGAATGAGTTGAGAGAATTTGATAAAAGATCAAAGCATTTTCTCTTAGGTGATGATTTTATTAATTCTCATAACCTAATCTCTTGACAACGTATGGAAATCGTTAGGAGAAAATTGATGTTGGTCAATATTGGGACTTAAAACGTTAAGGTCTCTATTCTTACTAGTTTTTTTAGAACGGAAGTGAACATCGAAGCGATGGCTTGACCGGAGGCCCAGGATAGGCTCCTATTACCGCTACAAGAATACTTTAAAACCCATTTCTTTTACATAAAACTTGCAAAGGAAGTGCGCGAGTTTCTTATAGCGAATACAGCACGCGCCCACGTCACGCACTTGTTTTATCGACTCCCCCTTGTAATGTCCTCAGCTTATGTCACAAATACCGCCGTTACAAAAACTTAGTTTCTGGTCAATTGCTGAGTTCATATAAAAATTTGGAATATATGTATTTTTTTCTTTATGAATGCTTGAGAGGTTCGACAAGCACACTTATGCAGCCCATGTAAGCACTCCTTTGCTCACCTCTATATTTGATGTAAATATTTTAAATAATCATTTTAAATAGTCTAACATATTCCAGAATATTTCATTTTGGCTACAATTCAATCTTCATAGTTTTTCTCCATAACTCAATTGAACCACGAACATTTTATTCTATTGCAGCCCGCCGCTTGAATCGGCCATCGTCAACAATGACAATGATCTTTTTTCCATAAGTCACTAAAAATCTTCCCCTTTACACCAACTTTCCACATCCCTCCAGAATACGGACGCCTCTAAGAACGTATTTGACAATTTACAAACTTTGCGAAGACCGTGGTGTATTCTGGATATGACCAAGATTCATTGCGTCGTTCACGTGATCCTCTTTATCTTGGTCTTGCCTTGACCTTCTGTACGTTCTACGACGTAAAGGTGGCAGTGATTATAGGGTCTTAGGCGTCACTGCTTTGCCTTAAAGGACGTGCTCTCCGTCTTTCAACAGACTTCTTGATGTGACTAATGATAACGTATGGATCAACATTAACATTGGTAGTCTGAAAATTAAATAAATCAACGCAAATTAGTGGTCATTTAAGAAGTTTGCCTGAGTAAAGTGAAAGCAGGATGATAAAATGCATCAACTCACCCCGAACAGCTGAAGAGAATCAATATCGGCTCTCGTCCTTCAAAATAACGGGTTGACATCGGTTAATAAGTGAAAAATAGATATTTTGCTACTGGGAAGACAGCGCGACAGTGTTGTCAGCACGGTTAATTTATAATTCGAAAGTACTGTAATCGGCGACAGATTTGTTGAGACACACTGCACCCTTCCCACTACTCCCCTATATAAAGTTGGGTATTTTGTCTGGACAGGGGGGTACATCATTGTTTAGAGGGGCTGGGGGAGGGGAAGCTTGCTTCACTTTACCTTGCAAGTGGACAGTCTTCAAGAGGGTGTTTTTTAAACTCGTTTACAAAAGAAACGATTGGTCCAAACAGTTAAAAACTGGAGAGCTTTAGATTCGAGGACGAGTAGGACATTTAATTTTAAGCTTTCTTACCTATTCTCTAAAAATAGACACCCTGGAAATCTTTATTGTACTTTTTTTTAACCACAAAACTTAGTACGCTTTTTTCCGTTGAAGGAGGTGAAGCCCTCTCCCGATCGCTAAATGACAAAAATTCCTAACATTTGACAACTTGTTTCGCCACTACGACATCTCGCTAAAACTCGTAGAAGACCCCCCACGACTGCTATTATATTTTCGCGCCAAAATGACGCTTAGTAAATGATACTTAGTATCGAGAAAATCTCGTTCTCGTTGTGGTCCTCGTCTGCGAATCTAAAGCTCTCTACTATCACTATGTCAAGTAAAATCACGAAATCCCGATACAAAACGGAACAAAGCGTCTTCAAAAACAGGCAAGCAGTTCTTACCCCTCGGCTGCTCCGCGATAAACTAGTCTTATTATTGTGGGTAAATCACTTCCATCAGGTGACGGGTTCTGAAAAAACATACATACGAAACCGTGAAAAAGTATATAAGGTTTGCCATTTTCAGGTAAAATTATCAAACACCATCAATAAGCAAGCATGGAAACGCAGGCCCCAGCAAAATGGTTTTCGTCCAAAACACTCCTTAAAGAATAACTGAAGCGAAGACAGGCATTGCTGATCGCATCCTCAGCGAAAACCTCCTGAACACACGCAAAACAAAGTCAGCAAAACAGGCGGGGGCCAAGGAACAGAGCAGAAGACAAAACAGAGACGTTCATCACCGAGGTAAAGCAAAAAATTCTACGTCAATAGCCCATGTTCGATATTGAAATTCTAGCATGACTCCGAGACTTTCTGGTCATTTTTCTATATTTGGTTTGGTTTTCTTTGTGCTCAATTCTCTTCTGGGAATTGCGAGACAATCGAGTGGTGAACAATTTGCAATTTTGACCATAAAGCCTCGGATTCATGTTAGAATTTTCATATATATCGAACGTGGGCTTTTATGGCCTGCGCTTGAGGGCAAGGGAGGCGTCTCCAGCATAAATCAAATCTCCTTACAAACATCACATGGTCTCAATTGGGAAAATAGCAAGCTGAAAATGTCTATAGAGGCCATGATAAAACCTGTCCCCCTCTCCCTCCCCCTCCCGCCCCCGCCGGTAACATAATGTACTCTCTTTCCTTTCTATTTCCTTTCCTCCCACCAATCGTTAACGTTTTGGGGGCCGCCGTCTCCCGAGCTTCACAAGATTCTGCGATATACGTATTTCTAGTTTATGGCCTACGCTCAAGGGCAAGGTAGGAGTCTACCTCCAGCATTCAGCTGAAGTGTGACATTTTAAATTACACCATTCTGGGTTTTCAAAAAATAAAGAGTACAAAGCAAGCAGAAGATTTACTCATTACTTACAAACTTTGGAAACACCATTCCTGCACTGAGAGCGTACAACTCCATGTCGTCTCTAAATGCTGGAGACATAACAAACACATTGAATTTCTGTAATAGTGAATACTTACGAGAAATAATAATAATAAAAAAAGGTTACGAACCATTTTAGGGGCAATGGGAGATACGCAAATGGTGAATTGATGGCATTGTGGTGCGGAATGTTGCAACGACTTATTGGGCTACTGGAACAACGACAGTAGGGGAATGACACGTGTGACACTTCGCGCCAACCCGTTCTCGAGCGGCTTACTTTTTTCTGCTTATTCTCGGCTTCACTTACCTGTTAAACAGTCGTAAAGGAGGTGAAAAAGATCTTTACCCGTTTTCGAGCTGCTTACTTTTTCCCGCTTATTCTCGGCTTCACTTACCTGTTAAACAGTCGTAAAGGAGGTGAAAAAGATCTTTACATGGCCTTTTACTGATCAGCATAATCTCGTGCGATGCCGTGGGTGTCTAAGAGAAAGGAATCAAAAAATATTTTTCTTAACATCATCATGATGAACGGTTAAATGCTATTACTTCCAGAGTACTTGCATTATCCTCCCACTTTCTAGACGAAAAACTTCACATTCGCCACTTTAGACATGAGAAGGGAACAGAAGCCTGAATGTGTCCCACAATTGTTTGAAGAATCGTTACTGGGGATGCGCCTGTCTGCTATAAGGTGATGTTAAAAGGGACGATTTGCCACGACGATTTTTAACGCAACACATCATTCTAACACTGTTCCAACATTGCTAAGCTGTGTTGAGCAAAAAATCGTCGTTGAGAATCGTCCCGAGTAACATCACCTTGATCACCTTTAAAGTGATGTTACACGAGAAGATTCGAAACAAAGATTTTTAGCGCAACACAGCATTGCAACATTGTTGCCACATTGTTTTGAATAGTTACATCATTGTTCCAACACTGCAACGCTGTGTTGGGCTAAAAATCGTCTTTGCGAATCGTACCGTGTAACATCATATTTAAGGACCTTACGATCCGACAACGGCGACGTCCATGAGAACGTCCCTAAAAAATAGACTTTGCATCCTTTCACTTTTTTTCGCGATTATCCCAGGTCGCCCAGTTACTTTAAAAAAAAGGAATTTAGGTGGGAGATGAAGAGAGGAGACCGCGCCCAAGTTCAGACAGAGATGGTAGAATTTATCGGCTTGCCGTTGCCTTTCTCAGGTAAACTTAAAATTTGGTCATTTCACGTCGTAGTTGCGCAGGGACGGCAACAAAATGTACAAAAAAGCGTGATGCACGTGCAGACTCGTTGTTTTGCTCATTAAGGTGATGTTACACGAGACTATTCGCAACGACGATTTTTAGCGCAACACAGAGTTGCAGCATTGTTGCGACATTCGGTTTCGAATGGTTACAACATTGTTCCAACATTGCAACTAGGGTAGCGCTAAAAACCGACGTTGCGAATCGTCCAGTGTAACATCACCTTTAAACCTTTTTTCTTTTTGACGTTAGTAAATGGGTACTTGACCAATTAGCGCGCGCGCTTTGGTTATGTTATGAAATGTCTTACTAAATACGCGAAAACAGTGGCGTTGCCATAGCGCACTGCCAGACCCAAAGCACTGTAGATCTATGCAAAGAAAAACAGAAAATCCAAAGTTACAGATTGTTTCAATAAGAAAAGAATTCTGTATCACTCAAAGATGAAAAGATAAATTATCCTTTCGAGGTAAAACTTTTGTTTAGGGCCTGTGAACAAAAGCTACAGTAGTAACAAACTAGGGTAATATTTAGTAAGTGAAAAAACACGGTTCTAAGTTTTGAATCTGTGGGTCAACTCTTAAGTGGATGAAAAACAGAAGCTATTGTTAATGTGTTACTCTTACTGTTTACTGTCCTCTGCAAGGTGGTTCTAGCTTTGAATCTGAAATGAAATGCTTTAGTGTGGCCATTTACAAGAAAGATAGTACTGAGAGGTACTATTCTGGGGTGTTGTTTGTCATGGTGTATAAGGCAGTTCTCACTTTGCAAAGTGTGGATAAAACCTAAATTGTGACCATTCACATAAAAACTGCCGAGCAGTACTCTCTTTGGGTACTTCTTTATGTTGCAAAAGACGTTTTCAACTTTGATTCAGTAAATGAGCTAAAGAACGCGACTACCCAAAGACAGACTTTGAGGGAAGATCTTACACGATGCTATAAATTATGCTATGCAAGAAGACTCGTAATGTCTTCAATTCACTTACTTTTGTTAGGGTTGAAAAGTAGTTTTCTCCATTATGATCTTCTGCGTATTTCTTAGCAGCAACATAAAGATGATTCCACTTGGCTATCAAAAACAACAACAAGCAAATCATAAGAGACCTGAAATGTTGCCCCGAGGCAATGATAGAATACTGTACAGCGCATCCAAACTTGAGGTCTCACGACTATTTGAAGCCGCCCCGAACAGCTACGTAATACATCGAGCATAAGTAGCAATTAACCGGTATCCAGACAATGTATTTCCCCTGGTAAGGCGCGCGAGAATAGCGATAAAGGAGATGAACACGCGAGAACGGCGATAAAAACGCGAAGGAGAAGGGTAGGTTAACACCTGCAACGAAGCAACTGCTTGACGCAATTTAGTGTTTAGTAAGAACCAACTACTGTAAATGAGACATACTACTTCGTTTACATTTACAGAAACCATTATCGCACTATTTCAAAGATCAGCCGTTCTCAAATAGCAATCTGGTGAGACCCCAAGGCGATGAAAACATCATAAACAATTTGGTTTCCTTCTCTCCTCTATCACTCGCGCGTACTTCGCGATCTAGCGCGAAAGAAATAGACAATACTTTTTTCCTTTCGAACGCCGCCACGCATGCTCAAGACAGTAGAGACCTTAAGACGAAGACGACTAGAAGGACGAAATTTTCTCAATACTAAGTAATGCGCGCGCGTGCACCGGCGTCATTTCGGCGGAAAAAACGCCATATTCCTCGTCAATTTATTACGCGTTTTTCACGACTTTTGAGGAGAATGTCGTAGTGGCGGAAACAAGTTGTCAAATGTAGAAGTTTTATCATTTTGCGATCGGGAGGGAGGTTAACCTCCATCAATAAAAATAACCGTGCTAACTTTTTTGGTGCAAAAAGGTACAATGCACCTTTTCGGGGAGTATATTTTTTGAAGATAAGCGAGAAGACTTTAAGTCTAACCTCGTCCTCGTCCTCGAATCTACAGGTCTCTACTGTGAGGCGAAGAGCAACACCACGGCAAGAACCGTAGTTTAACTCGGATGTATGGTTACCGGTCATTTCGCCCCCGGGTCATTTCGTCCCCAGGTTATTTCGCCCCGGTTACTCAGCCCCCTAGTCTAGAACGTGGAATATTATATTTGAAGCGTGCTTGTTTTGGTTTATGGCGTATAGAACGAGCAATATTACAGTTTGAAGCGCGCTTGTTTTGCTTTATGGCCTATAGAACGAGGAATGTTACATTTGAAGCGCGCTGAATGATTCGAAATTAGGTGGCTAAGTAACCGGGGTGAAATGACTGGTTACCGGATGTACTACCAAAGGGTAACAACACCACCACCTACCGTAATAGTGATCTCTTGCAAGGGTGACGTGAAAATGAGGGTGAACCTGACTCGCACTTGCCCTTGGTAATGTGTCCCAATAGATGTGTGGAATGGTGTATTTCTTGTCCCATGCGTGTGCCATTCGAAACCTGCAAGAAGAGTCGCATGTGCATTACTTAGAGTAGTACTGAATCGCGTGGCCTTAGCTAAGCTAGTAATAACCAAAGGTTAGAGAGGGCGGGCAAGATCAATCGAAGGTTAAAACGATCTTGCCCCGACGTCCTGCTTTGCGTAAGGTTCATGTGGTAGAAGGTCAAAACGCGCACGATCGATCAGACTGCGCTCTATGCATTCGATTGATTGATAGGGGAAATCCTAACGAATGCTGGCTACACAAGTGCCGGGCAAGCGTAACAGCAACTTGGAAATTAGGATTGCGGACTCTTCTGATCGCCTGCCCATTGTAATACGTCCTGGATCAGATCTAATGCCCGAAACGCTAAGCAGCTGTTAAATCTGTTTACGGTGGGAAATCACTATTAACAACTCCGTTTATTTTATTCTCCCATTGTTAGCGATTGTTTCCCATGCGATAAAACACGTCGCTGGCTTTGGAAAACATGTTGGTATTTTGTCTTTCAAAAGGCTTACACCAAACAAGTATATCCGACAACTATGTAACAGGGTTCGTATTCTTTTGAGCTCTTCAAATTCCATGACTTTCCATGACTTTTTCCACCACCTTTTCACGTTTTCCATGACCTTGTGTTTAGCTGTCACGTTCAAAAAAAGTTCAAAACATTCCTTGTTTTAGGGTATTTTTTGACCTTAAATAGTTCAATAGACACAAACTCTGGTGTCCACCAAAATGCGTGTCTTTCGCGCTGTTTAATTACTCCACTTTATCTTACATTAACCTTACTTTGCTTTGTCATCGGCAGTAACTGACGTAGGGGACAAAAAATAAAATTTCCATGACTTTCAAGGACCAACAATAAAATTCCATGATTTTCCCGACCTGGAAAATCAAATTCTTGAATTCCATGACTTTCCAGGCTTTCAATGATCTGTACGAACCCTGCTGTAATCGGTAAGGCGTTCAATTTCTTTCTTACATGAGGTTAAATTTGATCCTAGAAGCACTAGAAATTACCCTGGGTACCAGGGCTTTTATCTCTTTCCTATCTCATTCCTGTTAGTTTTCACGACTCATAAGCAGGGCTGCCTTTATCCTAGGTATTTCCTGAGAACAGATCTCTGGAGCCAAGGTAACTCGAAATATGCCTTTGATTGAAGTCACTTACCACTTCTGAGCCGTTTCCATGCCATCTAACAACTGAAAAACAAAAACAAAAAAGAAAGAATACATATTGGAACTTTCTACTTCCCTGGTTTGAAAGCAACAACGAAACCTCTTACTTGTGTTAAAATTTGCGCCAATTATAGTTGCATTGTTGCATTGCGATTCCTTTGGCTTTGGATTACCACACTGGCTAACCATATTACCTATCATTTTACTAACCAATCAAAGCGCGTTTTGTTCGAGCGAATTCTTAGGCCTTTAGTACTGCTTGTGTACGGTTAGTTTGCGGTTTAGTAGCTAATTAACAATTATTCCTCGAGCCCGAATGGGCTCTGAGTCAATCGGCCTCATGGGCTATTGACTCAGAGGCCAAGAGGAATAATTGTTTTAGTAAAATCCAACTAGTTGGTAAAAATATCGAGAATAAAAAACTTTTAGCTAGTTAAAGCTAGACTTTAATCCTTTTTTGCCGCCAAAAAGCCCGCGCTTTTCGCTACTAGCGGGCTATAGCATATAGCCTAGTAGTAGCTCAACCAATCAGAACGCAGCATTGATGATAGACCACTAGTTGGATTTTACTAATCTGTGTTAGTTGTGATAGAGCAGAAAATGGCAAAAACACGACCGAGGACAAGCGGGCTATGTAGCAGCTGCTTGGAAGAGAAGTCACCAATGGTGACTAACCCTGAGCGCAAACAATACTGAAACAATTGAAAGAATGACATGTCATTGTTTTCTGCGAACAATCAGGAGAGACCTTCCGAGCAGCTCCACAAGCTAGCGAACCTGCTGCTTCTGAGATTTTTCTTGTCCAAGGGAGGGAGGGATCAGGGTTATGCGGGTTGCTATTGCCATTTTGACGTTATTTCCGAGACTGGGCAGAATTGTGTTATTGCGCACAATAAAACTTTTTCCAGGAGACCCAATCGAGTCATCTATTAGCAATTTTCTCATAGACCATAATGCAACTTGTTTAGCCCCCCCCCCCCCCCCAAAAAAAAAAAAAAAAAAA